AAAGTATCAGCCTCGTACAAAGACCCGAGCCGAATGCAGAATACCAAATTCAAAGGTAAAAAGGTCAAGAATGAGTAAATGTATTCAAAGATTGTTAAAATTCTCATATTCCTCCCTATTCTCTTATATACCGCCAATACAGCTAACAAAATCCATTAAAACGTAAATATGTTATATATAAAATGTCTATTATTATCAATAATAATTAATAATATCAATATTATTATTATTATCATTATTATTATTCTGTATATATATATATATATATTTATATACCATTCATAAATATGTTTGCCCAAATATTCATCAATATATTCAATATATATATATAATTCATCATTTTAGTTTAATATAAATATCGATTTATAATATAGAATTATATTATATTCAAAATTATATCTATTATTAATTTTATATATGTGTATATATATAATGCTTATATTGTTATCGGAAGAAATAGATTAAAACGAACAATAGTCGTACCATTCAAACACATATCATCTTCTAGCGCTTGCCTTTCTTCTACAATCGATTCTATCTTCAGCCATTTTCCAGAAGGAACTCTAAACGATGTCCGTTGTTCAGGTTCTTATTAAAAAAAAAAAAAAGATGCAGTTTGCATGATTTTTTGCGGGTGCAGTTCCTCACAAGAGTGTATATATGGATAGATGAATGATTCATTATTTGTGCTTCTTCAATATCGGATGTAGGGGACAGTCGCTTCGCTTCAGTCGCTTCGTCGTTCCAATTCGTGGGTCCGATCGATTCAGTAGATGTCCGTCCCCGGCGACGATCGAGGCATTGCTGTTGCGCTAGGTCGTCGGAAGCTTTTCGTCAGAGACCAAGACCGCAAGCGGGGAAGTAGCTCGGTAACGTTCATCTTGGGACCTGGGCCGCAATCGAATCCAAATCGATTGCGAAGCTGCTCTGGATCAGGTCGACAAAATCAAACTGCAAGCCTCAATCTCAAACCAATCCAGAAGGCACACGCCACGTGTTCAATCTTCACACAAGTCAAATTCTTTTGAATTACGGCACAGTCTTGTCGGGTAAGGAGTTGAGAGCGGTTTGGGGCAAAATATGACTTGGAAACCTCAGGTGCCAACTGGCGGCAGAAAGGCTCTGGGAACAAAAGAAAGGCGCCCGCACTCCAGCTGGCCTTCCACGTGCCCCATTTGGGTTGCGCTTGCCCCCCCCCCACCCCAAGCAAGTCCCCCATGGCCTTGGCCGCCAGTTTGGCTTCTGCCAGCAGCCAGGCCGGCGGGCCTTTGGTCTCAAAGAGGCACCAGGCAGGCCACGTCGGCTCCGAGGGCTCCGAGGGCTCCGACTCCAACCTTCCCTCGGACCTGGCAGAAACCCACCGAGTGATCCAACCCAGGCCAAATGTGTATTTTTGCCGCCGCAAAAAGAAAAAGAAGCGAAAAATATTAATGACACCAATGGAAGTGAACCTTTCCCGAAGTGTGACGTGCAATCCGTTTGGAAAAAGAGTGCAGCTTGTCTACTGCTTTCTTGGGCCGTCGGACCCGACTCCGAAAAGCAAGTGGGAATGAGGCTCACTGAATGTCACTTCAAAAACAAACAAAAAAGAAGAACGAGGAAAACACAAAATGTATTGGAAAGAAACCCTTGGAGGTTCCCCCAAAAGGGTTTCGATTCAAAAGACATGCCGAGCGCTTGCCGGAAAAAATTGCTCGCTGCGCGCCCAAGGCGCGGCAAGTCTGGCAACTCCTTTTGGCGCATGGCCTCCAGCTGCTTCTTCAGGATGCCTGGCATCCCAACTCTAGAAACAGTGGCAACAGCCCTCTCAAAGCGCGTTGGACGCGCTTTAGTCTCGCTGGAAAACCCCCAAACCAGATTTCTCTATTGGGTTGCCTTTAGAACAACCCGGAAGATCCCGTTTACATGGAGCCTCTTGGCTTCCCTTTCGCTTCTCTTTCAAATCACCCCAAAACAGGCGCACGACTCAAACAAACCCATGCACCCCAATCCACTCTGTTGCTCTCAGTGGGCCCAAGTGTCCGAGTTTCAGGCACCTCCGACAATACTCTGAAAGGGAAACCAAAAGGAAACTAGCCATTTGTAAGACACACCCAAATCGTCTCTGAGATGGTTGGCTTCTTCTTCCTTTTTAACGGGGGGTTTCTTTGGAATTGGACCCACACAAAAAACAACGTTCAACTTGTGGTTTCCCTAGACCAACCAAACAAGTGGGTACCACTAACAAGGAACCCACCACAGGGTCCAATTGTAAGGAACATGGACCCCCAAACCGTGACGTTCCATGTCAAAGTGGACCTGAGGGTAACTCCATGTAACTCCCAAAAGCCCGTTCTTTTCAACTTGCCGCTTTCCCTAAACCAACGGGGGCAACCCAGCAACCCACCCCCCCCAAAAAAAAAAACGGGAACCCGGCCACTCCATAAACAAGAGACCCCCCAGAAACACCCGGACAGACCTCCCCCCCGTGGACCGATGTCCGGCGCTCGCTCCGGGCGCCCGGACCGGCGGCGCTGAGCGCGGCCTGGCACAGGGCGCTGCCCATCAGCTCCGAGATCTCCGGGGCCTTGTAGATGCTGCCTCGGAGCAGATCAGCTCAGCTGGGGGTTTTGGGGGGGAGGGAAAATGACGAAGCAGAGGGGCTCCTGAAGTGGGGGATTTTCAGCTTGAGGAATCAAGGTTCAAGGTTCATTTTCAGTAAGCTAACGATGTTCATCTCACGAAGGTTTACAGGGATTTTTGCTGCCTCAGACGCGGAGCACATGGCCTGGCAGCTGGGGGGGGGGCACTCTTCCACTTCTCCCCCATTTTGCTCCGATGTTGGTGGTGTTTTGTTTTGTTTTCTTTTATGTTTTGGAGGGAAAGAGGCAAACGAAAAAGAAAAGGGGTAGCTCCTCTGCAAAAACTATAGCTGAATGTTTCGGTCTTGACGTTCCTTCTGAAAAACCCGTGACACCGAAAAACGGGTTGCCTCAAAGGGCACAAGTGGTTTCCCCATATATAGATGTATACTCACAACTCCAACCTGCAGTCCGGGCAACCTGAGATAACGTAGAAGGCTTCGTGAGGAACAGTTGAACGTCTTTGAATGACGAAGACAGAGGTCTCCACTCGGCCTGCCAAATGCAGGACATGTCAGATCAGCAAGAAGAAACGCAAAGGCCACGCATAGTTTGGTCATCCTTTGCCGAGGAGTCCCTCTTCCAAACCCGCCTTCCTTGGCATCCTCATTCGCAGCCAGCAACACGAACTCGCTTGCAAACGGATCCTTGCAAGTAGGAGGTGAATGCAAACATATACTGTCACTCGCCAAATGATGGGGCCCCGTCTGCCTGGCCTCAATCTGCCCGCGTCGCCGCTGCTCATTCAAGGACGTGGCACCGCCAAAGTGAAGGTAGAAAGGCGAGGTGAAAAAGTAGTCCAACCTGGGTTTGTCCCAAAAAATGATGCCCCCTTCATTTCTCTTGAAGTCAACACGAGCCTCGTGCAGAAAAGCCAAAAATTCCGGAATCAGTTCTGGACAAGGAGCACATTCTTCACAGTCAGCCCGTTCTTTTGCAGAAACTCTGTGTTCCTTACGATCGAAGCATGCCAAGCTACATGTGTGTCTGTGCCGTGTCCTGTACAATCGAGCACTCCCTTGCTTGCTCCGTATCGATAGGGGGTGCTCCACAGCACGTGAGCAGTAAAAAATGGTGCTTATGGCGATCACAAACTAAATTAGAGTTCAACTTTGCACATAGTCTCAGTCAACTACACTTCAAAGCCAGGTCTCACGAAGCTGACGTGCGCAAGATCGTCCATGGCTCACAAGGCAAGCACACGGATCCTGGCTGCGTCTCCGGCTCGGAGGCTGGCGCATTCTCAAATCGACCGCTTGAAGCTGAGCCGGATCGGGTGCGGGCCGCGGCAACCTGAAAGGCACTCATCACCATGCGCCTTGAGGCTCCCAAGTCATGTGCGCGACATGCATCTCTTTTCTGGCGGGTCCCGGCTCAGGCCACCTGACAGATACACCAAACCCACAGGCCACCTCGCGGACACTTGGCTGTGGGTCAAAAGTAGGTAGAAGAAAAGGAATCCTGGTAAATGGAACCACGGACCAAAAAAATGCGGTGCCTTGTTGTTTAATTTGAACCCACACCCACTTGGCCAATTCTGCAAACTTGCTGCTTCACCGCGCCTCCATGGTGAGGGCCTGGCATGTCAGCGGAATCCAGAGACAAAGACTTCCACGGTGTCAAAAACCCAAGCTTCCGGGCATGCAACACCGTGAACCTACGCTCGTTGTCCGGAAAACCATCGGGAAAACCGCGTTTTGCTTGAAATACCCTGAACCTAACCCTTGTCGTCCAGAAAACCGGATCGGGTTCACCACGGACACGAAGCAACTCGATGCGAGCCGGAGCGGCATGCCCCCGGAAGATCGAGCCGTTCAAGGTATCGACCGCACTCTGGGCAGCCTCCTCTGACCTAGAAACGCAGCGTTTGTGGGTGTCTCTCTCCTGGAAGGGACCCCTTTTGTTGGTTGTCAAGGGGAACCAAAAGGGAACCGATCATTTTAGGGGTCCCCTAATTCTACAGAACAGAAAACTGTGAAAGCGCATTGGTGGTTTTGGGGGAGTTGTGGGAATTGCAGTCGTTTTTCTGGGATGTGTGCGAGTTCCAGCCTCTTCTGTTGTTCTAATGCATCGCCGGGTTTCTAAAGAAGTAAACATACCTCAAGAAAACCGAGAAACGCCAATCCAAAAAAAAAGAAGAAAAAAAAAAAAAAACAATCCTCTGGCAGTCTTTCCACTGGATTTGCCCTGCCCAAAGCCCAAAAACAAGACTTGAGACAAACAACTCAGACACTTGTTCAAGAGGCAGCCACTCACAACTCGCGGTGCCAAGTTCTGGAGAAAGGTTGTGCTGGTTGTGTTTTTGTTTGGTTTCCTCGAGGTTTTTTGGGTGTCTAGTTTTGGGCAGAGCAGTGGATTGCTTGTATTGAAGGGAATTCATGTTTGAAATGACGATTTGAATCTGAAACTCGAGTTTTTGTTGAATCAGGTGGGTTTAAATGCGAAGTGATTCGCAATGAAAATCAATTGCAAATGAAATCCCGTCAAAGAAAATGAAATAGAGAGAGGCCGTTGGTGGAGATGTGAATTGTAGTGGTCAAAACGCTACAACACACTTCGTGTCACTTTATTTTCTGACCATGGTAGTGCTGGGGGCTAGGTAAAAACACGATGTGTTTGGACCTCTGCAGTCCTTTATCATGAAATTATACTTGACATCTTTATCTAAGTCTACTCAATGTCTAACACAAGCAAAGCAAGTGCAAACAGGCTTGCATGCACAAGAGGATCCACATACTGCGAAAAGTGAACTCCCACAGTCCACGGCCCTCTCATTTTAAGACACCCCCAAATGTTGCTCAAGCGAGCCATTGGCCCCGAATCAAGTTAGCCTCCTGACCACCAAGTCACTCGTGGTATTCTCTGAGATCCCCACTCGTAGGCAACTGTTGCACCATCCGGCTCGCATGCCTATTGCGACGTTTCATGGGCTGAATCCATGGGGTGAAATTAAAAAAAAATAAAAGAAAATGATTGGCAACTAACACCCTGTGGACATGGGGATTTGTGCAACCAACCATTTGTGAGACCCGTCAAAAATCCAATAAGGCCGCGGCCACATGAGCGACAGGGCCTGCTTTCCTCATGTGATCCTGACAGGCCAAAACAACCGTCGTCCCTTGTGGTTCCACTATTTTGAACAACCTAGCTTGTCATACAAGCTGAGGGTTGCACATAAGTCCCTCCCGTTGCTCTCCCTCGCTCGCTCTCTCTCTCTCTCTCTCTGCCTATGCTCAAAGGGTACAAGGTTGCCAGCCCCCCCACCCACCTCCATCCAGTTGGGGTTGATTTAGGGTTTGGGGTTGGCTTAGGGTTGGCTTAGCCAAGTGGGTTCAGGGATGGGATCGGTTTAGCTAGGGTTGATTTCGAGCTGGCTTCGGGTTGGCTTAAGCTTGGTCTAGGGTTGGTTTGTCCTGGGTGCGGATAGGTCCGACCTCCGGGCAGGGGTTGTGGTGGGAATGTGGGGACCGGCATATAATTGGTTCAAGTTTCCCAGCAGATTGATTGGATCAACCTCCCCAGCAAATTGGTTTGACTTCTCAGTCCTGCTAAAACTATAATATGGAACAGCCTACTGACAGCTACTGACATTGCATCATTGCGTGCTGACATTAAGGCGGCTCTAACATTTACTATCCTATATGGTATGATTCCATTGTACTTAGCAATAAATTTATTTGGTGAAGCTATCTATCTTTGTCAAGTGTTGTGTGTCCCTTTCGCTGTTGCAAGTTCATTGGTTCAATTGAGCCATGTCCTCAACGTGTCATGATTTTCTATGTCGTATCATTCTGCTTACGCCACCAGCTTACGCCACCTTACGCGTGTGGAGTTTTTGCTTACGCGACACATTTGGAGATTTGGCTTACGCCACCAGCTTACGCCACCTTCGTGGAGTTGTTCATTACGCGCTGGTCGATATGACATGACTCTTACTAAACATGTACATGCAGGTTTTGGACGCTGCTCAATTGAGTTCGTTGTTTTCCCGCACGCATAGCAGAAGGGAAATGTTTAAAGGGATCAAGAAATGACCAAATTCTGCGCGTTCACGTTTGTTTGTGTTCGTACAGCGTCCACTGCATGCTCATGAGTGTCGCGCTCGCCGTGCTTATTAGGGAGCCGGCAAACGAAGCACTTGGAATGAGTTGGGAAGCGCTGCTTTACATCCGCCTGTGCGTGCATTGATTGACGTGCCATTTTTCTGGGCAGCCAGCGTGTTTTGAAAGGTTCGCTGTGTTGGTTGTCTGCAATTGTGATTGGCGTTCCAGGGATGCATGCAGGCGCGTGCAAGCACTCGCTCAAGGGCCACACAATTGGCATGTTTACAACACTGACACAAATATGTTTGTGCAAGGTTGGCTCTCTTGAATGCGGTTTTTCGTCCCAGGAAAACTACTTTGAAAGTGGATACTCGTGTCTGATTTTGGCATGCGCGGCACTTTGAAGCCTAGAGTACCACAGTGCTTTGGAGCTTCGCATGTCGAATGTCATGGCAGGCACAGCACTCTGAAGCACAAAGTCCGCATTTAATGGCAGGCGCAGTACTTTCGATGGCCGCGCATGTCATGGCCGGCGAAATGAATGCTTTGCAGGGTCACGGGTCACATTTCACGTTTCTCTGCAGGCGCACTTTGGTGAGTACGGTGCTTTAGAAAACGGAGTGCGCAGCTTTCGTGGCTGTCTTGATGAATGAATGTTTGTGGGGACGGGCAGCAGTCTCTCTGGCCACGTCTTTGCGGATGTTTGGCGCATATCTTTCGTGTCTATCTGGGATGCCTCGAAGAATGTATTTGGGATGTATCCAGCGGAATGTCGTCAGGGGTTGTCTTTCGGGGGCTTTTGGGTGTGCTTGCTCTTAGGGATGGCATTTGGGAAAACTTCTCTGAGGATGCCTTTTTGGGTGTCGGGGCATGTTTGATGCTTTGGAGATTTGTCTGGGTCTTTCGGGGATGTCGTTGAGTCTTCAAAGGTGGCTTCGGGATGTCGTTGGGCATGTCTTTGGGGTTTCCAAGAAGCTTCTCATTGACCATGGGAGTCTCATGTCTTGTTATTGGGTCAGGGATGGTTTTTGAGGATATCTTTGGATGTCTCTGGGACGTTGGTGATGCCACTGGGAAAGCCCCAGGTCTTTCCAGCTATGTGAACGGCTGGGTTTGTCTTTGAGAGCTTCTTTGTCGCACATGTCTTGAGCGATTTCTGCAAGCTTCCTTGCGCAAGTCTTTGTGGACTATGGCTGTGTCCTCCGTGCCCTTGCGGGTGTCTCCGCGAAGGTCTTCAAGCGTGGCTCTTTGGGGATTTTGGGGGGCTTTGGGGAAGTCTATGGACGTGTCTTTGGGATGTCTTGAAATTGTATTTGCGGTTGGGAATTGTCTTTGAGGCATGTTCTTTGGGCAATGTCTTTGAAGGAATTGTTTGCCGTTTTTTCTTGGGTGTTGTTGGGATGTCTTTGGGGGCATCCTAGTGGGTGTCCTTCAGGAAGGAGAGTCCATGGATGTGTGGTTGGGTGTGTCTTTGGGGATGTGATTTTAGGGATGCCAGACTGGATTGTGTTTTTGCGTTGCTATGCTTGTCTAAGTTCTTGATCTCATTCATTCCTTGAACATGTTGTGCTCTAGTGAGTTAACAAAAAATGGCTGTTCTTTGCTTGTTGGTTGGTGGCTCGTGTTATGTTTATTGGGTTGGGTCATTGGTTGTTAGACAAAGTAGTTTTACTGTTTGGGGAGGGTGCGAAGGGGCCATACTGTGACACAAACCGCTGGGGGGTAGCAACACGGAATAGGGGCCCCTATGGCTAACAAGCAAGGCCATTGGTTCCTACATTTGTTTCAGAATAAGGCACGCCTTTTGGATGATACATGGCTGTATCTTTTTTGAGGGCACCCCAACATATGCAAAAAGGGAACACCAAACAAAAATAAGCTCAGGTGATATCCCCAACAGCATGCGATGTTCTTTTTAGTGCTCGCACCACCCGGCAGCCCTCGCAGAACCTCGTGGAACCCTCGTGGAACCCTAGTGGAACCCTCGTGGAACCTTACCTCAGGGCCGCCCCAGACCACCCCGGAGCCTATCTGGGCTGAGACCCAAAACTTTCAGCTGTTGGGGAACAAAAAAAAAGGCAGGTCCCTCACCTATGCAAAAACAACGAAAAACAAAAAGAAAATCCGTCCGCAACCAGTCCTTGAGCTGCTTCCAGGTGCAGCCCTCGGGCAGGTTGCCAACCGTCACTTTGAACTCGCCCATGGGCGCCGAAGGCTTCAGCACCTGCAGTGCAGATCTCTCCGATGGACTGAGCGAATGATATATATATATATGTATATATGTGTAGGTCGATTTACTTATGCATAAATGTGCTGGTTTGCTTGTTTGGCTAGCAATTGCTATTATTATTATTACCGCTAGTAGCACTGTTCTCAATTGATATAATGATCATTATTAATATGATCAGTTTTATTGTGATTGTGATTCTCATTCTTAGCACTAGTAACAGTAGCAATAGTAGCAGCAGCAGTAGTAGCACTACCAACACCATTAACAGCAGTATCAGTCGTAGCAGCAGTGGTAGCAGTAACAACACTAGCAGCCGTAGCACTAGCGGCAGTAGCACTAGCAGTAGCAGCCTAGCAGTAGCAGCGCCAGTAGTAGTAGTAGTAGTAGTAGTAGTAGTAGTAGTAGTAGTAGTAGTAGGTGGTAGTAGTGTGCTAGTGGTAGTGTAGTGATTGTGGTAGTGGGACATGTGTTTTGTTGCGGCATGACCATCCTCTATCTGCCAGCCTTTTCCCGCGCCGGTCGAGATGGCTTGGGCCCCGAGTCAAACTCCTGAGTGCGTTGGGAACGCAGCGCCCACAAAGCCAAAACGCCTGAGGAAAACTTGCCCGAACATTCAAAAAGAAAAAGGCAACCACTGCCCAACCATTGCTGCAGTGTTTGACTAGTGACCATTGGACGCATTTGTGGGTCCACAAACGGTGTAGAGAGCCGAGAATCTTCCCAGTACTCGCGCACGTACAGAAGCCGGCCTCCACTCTACACGAAGACTAGAACAATTCCACTCAGTTGTTCTCGCAAAAACTCCACAGCTGCCTTGCAGCATAGTGTCGTGCATGTAGTCTATCGCCTTGGGTCAGTCGTCAGTGCTCATGTCTTCCCAAAATGCTGTCACTTACGTCTGGATCTGGATTAAGCAACCCATTGATGGATCCAACAGCACCTGCGGTGGCTTCTTATGCTTAAGCACCCCGTGCTCTCTGAAACTTTGAAAGGTTTCCAGCCGGAAGGGTCGCTACCCAGCGGCTCTTCTGGCTGCGTTGAAGTTGGCAAACTCCACCACCCCGCAGCCCTGGGCGCTCGAGGGCGAGAGCCGGTTAGTTTTGGCCTGGGAGACTGTTGGCAACGCGCTTAGCCACGCTGAGCAAACCATCAGTGATATGTCAAAGTGGCCCCCCCAAATCCGGTCAACGCTTGATTCTGCCGAACCAAGTTCCAGTTGTTGGCTTTGACAGGGCTTTCTTCTGTATGCTGTATTCAGGATCAAACTATCGATTGATGCATCTAGTTGCCCAAGCAAACATGAGCGATTTTTTTGTTTTGGCCCTCGTTCAGTTCCTTCTTACGATGCGCAGTTCATCCTCACCGAATCTTTGTTCTTGACTTGTCCGTCGCACTGATCAACTTGTCTATCATTTGTGCTCCATTAGAATTCACTTGCCAGCATGCCCAAAACAAAAAGGCCGGTTCTGCTTGCAGGCCTCAAATGCCCCTTGTGTTTGAGACCTCCGAATCCGTCGGAAATATGGCAACTCCGCATTTCCCGTCCTTGGAGCGGCCGTAGGGATCGCCACCTTCTGTGAAGAGCTCCACGTGCCTCACCTCCCCCACTTGGCGCATCTGGTCCTTCGAGGCAGCAGAACCACACGCAGCGGCTCCACTGCGCCACTGCTGTTCCCTGACCTTCACTGGTGCGCATGACTCACCCAACCTTCCCCGCAAATCGCTTTCCAAACTGGTCCTTTTAGTTGGAATGGAAGAACCGAACTGGGCCGGTCAAAAATGGAAACAAGCCCGCCTTCAATTGCTGCCATGTGACCGTGTATGGCCTTGCAGCACACTCTCTCTGCGGGTGCATTGCCCCGTGTGAGGTCTGCACAGGTTGCCCACGAAGACTTTGGTGGAGGCCTCGCCTGGCCAGGCTCAACCAAGGCCGCTCAAACCAGGACTTGTGAGATCACCATCAGGGCCTGTGCCATAGCCGTAGTCGTAGTCATAGCTGTCGTAGTAGTCGTCGTAGTGGCCATACTAGGGAAAGGCTTCGTGTCGGAACCCCCAGTCATGCAGGTTGACTAGGGCAGCAGCATCGTAGCTGGGAGCTCCTGGCATCCGAGCGGAGAAGACCCAAGACATGAGAGTGGCCCGTTCTTTCAATGCGCTCAAACGGGTCAAAGAAAACCAACTGCGATATGCGTGTAAAGAAGGTATCGAGCACGCCTCTCCAAGCCTCAGCGTCTGCAAGCAGTGCCAAATCCAACCAGATGGCAAGCAAAGAAGGTGCCATCGCAGTCCAGAAAGACTTCGAAAATTGACAAGGGACAGAAATGGAAGGTGGCTCAAGACAAGTGTAGGACAGCTTAGGCACCAAGCCCTGTGGTCCGCCTGTGCCTGAGCAAGAACCAACGACCAAAAAAGCTCTCCAGTTCATCTTGCAGCGATCCTTCCACATATTTCAAACGATCTGGCAATCTCTTTCAGATCAAAGGTCCAAGCTTGGATCCAAAGTCGGGCCCGAAAATGATCCCCGGCATATCCATTTGGGCTTGATGGCTTTCCGAGAAGCCTTGTACTGAGCTAATCTTAGGTTCATACTTGAGAGGAAATGGAAACCAAGACAGCCAGCCACCCAGCCACCCAGCCACCCAGCCACCCGCAAGCCAGCAAGCCAGCAAGACAGCCACCAAGCCACCCAGCCACCAGCAAGAAAGCAGACAAGAACCCTTGAGACCATCAGTCTAAGCCTCCCCACGCTCGGCCTCGACCTCGCAACATGCGCGGCATCGCCCGCTTCAATCGGAAAAGTCTTGCTGAAGACTGTTCTGCCGCGTCCAAACAAAGCCATGCTCAAGAAAAGTATGATGTCATGGTCCCCGCTGGTCAACAGATGCACAAAGTGCAGAACCACAACAACACAGGACGCATCTAGCATCAGGTATTCCAAGACTCACACCCACCCCCACACACATACATACACACACACACACACGTGTATTCAACTCATGGCGACATCGGATGGGTCCAGCGCCGTCTTGTGCCCACATCCACAGAATCCAAATGGCTCGATTGCTCTTGAGCACAAAAGCAAGCTACCTCGCTGCCTTCCGAGTCTCATTGCAGACCTCTGAGGCTGAAGCTCGCGATCCTCTCGCACGAAGATCTGGCGGCCTATCCGGCCACTTCCGGATGCTACGACCAAGACTTACATGCCAAACGGCTGTGGCTCTGAAGTAAAAATACCAAAATGGCACCTTGGTAAATGGAACCAAAGCCTAAAAATTGTACCCCTAGCTGTAAAATTTTGAGCCACACCCAGATGGCTGCAAGGGGCACCCTGGTAAGTGGACTTTGAGGCGCGCCATGCATCTCAGCGAAGCACCCAGGATCTCTGTACCAGAAAGCTCCTCCACAGCAGCCTGCGCCTGGCGAGCCCGCGGCGTCATTTCTTGGGCCTGTCTAATTTGTCAGGTTGGAACCTCCAAAATGGCTGATGTCCTTTTGGTTTCCCTTGCAAAACCACCCAAAAAAACTGGGGTACCACCCAAAAAAGACACAGAGAAAGATTTGAGGTCCCCACCTCTGCCGGGGTGGCAAACTCCACGATACCAAATCCTTGGGACTTGAAGAGCCCAACATCAGAATGAAAATTGAAGCCTCAAATCCTTCCCGCCAACAGCCAGCGCTGAAGTTGGTCACACCAAAATTGGGTACCCTCAAAACAACACAGCCTTGCAACCTGAGCAAAATCAAAGGGCGGATTTGGTTGGGGGAAATTCATACATGGTGTCCTTTCAGCTGACCTTCAAATATGCGGGGGATTCCGTCGAAAGCAGGAATGACCTACATCCTGCTTTTCACAAAAACAACATTCGAAGCAGCATAAACTCCACCAGTTTCGCTCAGGCGACCTTCATCATAAAGGTAGGACGTGCCTGGTTTGGAGTCGTGCCCAGCACAGCGTTCAACCAAACGACTGGAACACCATAGGCGCCACCTCCAGGACACAACCAGGACGCCACAAGAAGACCGGCACACCGACACCATCCGAGCACACCGAGACCCGGGAGGTGCCGCAAAGACCGCTCACGGCAAAGCACGGCTATCGCCATAGGCACCCTGACCCTTGGAGCGGCCATCTCGATCCACCACGTCAGCTCTTCTCACCTCGCAGGGCCCGGCCTTGAAGCGACCCCTGTCGGATGCAGCTTTCACGTGGCTGAACTGAGCGCGAAGAGCCTCACAGGAAGCCTCAAAGCCTCATGTTTGGGGCCCGCCTCGCCCACGGCACGGCAGTGGTCCTTCAAGTCCTGGCAGGTGGCCACGTATCTGCTTTTGCTTCCCTGTTGAAACCAGAGAACTGTCTCTCTCCGGCGACCGCAAAGCACAAGGGCGGAACAGCAGCGCCTTCCATGTTGCCTGCCACGAGAGGTTCCCGACGTAGACGCGGCAATCCTTTCAGAAGCTCAAGCATTGAGCACATGCAAGAAACTGGGCAGGCTCCAACTTGTGGAAGAGAAACGTCGACTGGTTCCCTGCCCGAGCCTGTGGACCACTCGATTGATCCACGCGGTCCTGTGGCCAGCGCGCCCAAGAGTGTGGCTCGAAATTCAGCCGCGGTGTACGCGGGGTTTTTGTCGTTGCTTCCACGTACTTAAAGCTGCCATGTTGGATACCACTTGAGCCACACCCGGCCCGGGTCCGTTCAAGCTGCGACCCCGCCTCGCGCACAATGATCGTTCTCCCGCCCAGGTCGGTGTCATTGAGTTCAACGACCTCCGCCACTCGAAGTGCATTTGCAGCTCAGGGGGGCACAAAAAGCAGCTGACTGGCTTAACTGTCCCTGTTGCCTGTCAGGTGTTGGATTGTTGATGGTTGAGCGAAGGCTTGTCTCGCGAGCCGTTGATTCATGCTGTGTTTCTGGGATTCGTTGTCATCTCAGCAGGGTGGGGCAAAATATGGTCTCGGGCCCAGAGGCCTTGTGAATGGCCGAACAAGACAAGGCCCCCCGCTGCTCGTCGGGCATCCTCCCGAGACTTAAAGGACACCAGGGCGCAGCCCCGCGAGCGGCCGCCCTGGCGAGCCGAGAGAGAGAAAGAACAAACGAGAAAAAGAAAAAAGCACAGAAACAAACAAACAAACAAACAGACAGACACAGACACAGACACAGACACAGACACAGACACAGACACAGACAGACACAGACACAGACACAGACACAGACACAGACGCAGACGCAGACACAGACACAGACAGAGACAGAGATACAGACACAGACAGAGACAGAGATACAGACAGAGACAGAGACAGAGATACAGACAGAGACAGAGACAGACAGACACAGACAGACACAGACAGAGACAGAGACAGAGACACACACACAGACAGGGACAGACACAGACACAGACAGGGACACAGACAGGGACAGACACAGACACACACACACACACACACAGACACACACACACACAGACACAGACACACACACACACACACAGACACACACAGACACACACAGACACACACAGACACAGACACAGACACAGACACAGACACAGACACAGACACAGACACAGACACAGACAAACAGACAGACACAGACACAGACAGACAGAGACAGACAGACAGACAGAGACAGACACAGACAGAGACAGACAGAGACAGACAGACAGACAGAGACAGACAGAGACAGACAGACAAAGGGGGACAGAAATCGTCTCGTCGCCTCAGTGAAGAGGTCCGCATAGACGACTTCCCCCACGGTCTTCATGTGATCCTCTGGAGCACGGCCCTCCCCAAAATTGCTCAAATTCCTTTTCCTCTTGGTGGTCCTTTGCCAAACACGACCCGCACGCCATGTCTCATTCTTCGGGTCCTTCAAGTCCTGCCATGCGATGTCCCACGGCAGGTTGCTGACATAAACGCGGTTCTCCACCTGGGCGCGAAGCGACGCACACGACGACACCCGGGTAGCCGTCAAGGGTAGCCGTGGGCGTAAGACACAGCCGGCGCCTGGTAAAGTGGCCATCTCATGCGCAAACAAGGCCCCCGCCGGGCCGTACATGTGCGGCATACTCTTGCCCTGGCCAACACACTCAACCCCGAACAGCTCCATTCCCGGAGCTTGCGCCTGATAGCCCTTCATGTGGCAAAGCTTCGCGCAAAGAGTTCTGCTTGTGGCATGGAAAGATCTGTGAACTCGCTCGAAACAAGTTAGGTGAATGCCAGAGTCGACTAGAGGCCTAGAGCTCATGGTACATTGTACCAAACTCCAGTCAGGAATGCTCAAACGATGCCTAGTGTTGTATGCTTCTGCGCGGGCAAAAAGCTTGGATGCCAGTCTGCCACATGCTGGAGCCATGCTGCACCACTCCTGTCAATGTTGCATCGACAACATGCTGTCTCTCATGCCGTTGCCATCCCAAAACAAGCCTCGCATGCCAGTCCGCAGCTTGTCTTTTCAAGCATGCGGGTACTTCACGGCCAGTATACAGTGCAGCAAAGAAGTTCCAAAGCTGCAGAAGCTGCATGGCAACCATAAAATTGACACGGCCTCGCTGACCAGAGTGCTCAAACAGCTTTGATCAGCATACGGACAAATTGTTTCTATTTTTAACTCTGATCATCGCTATGAGACCGGCTTGACTCAAATGAATGCTGATCCCACATACTTCCTCCCCTGAAATCAAAAAACTGCTCCAGCTGTCTCCCTTGCTTCACTTGATTGCATCTTCCCCAAGAGGCAACATGCCAAATGCCTTGCTTCCGGAGCTGCAACTTCTGACCCACCAGCAGCGCGGTTTTTGCCTGCTTGGTGATGTTGTGTGAAACCAACAAACCAATCACCGGGATTTCGTGCTCAGCTTCCTTTGATGAGAGCTGAGCACAAAAACCACTGAATCAGTGGTCCCCCGAAGATGAAATGCACAAACCAGAAAAAGTGCGGTGACAAGCTTGCATCGACCCGACGCGCCGGGTCATGCTTGAGCGGGCAACGCTGCGCTGGCTCCCATTGGCACCAGGACAAATCGAGGCCACTCCTGGGTGCGAAGCAGCATGTTGATCACAATGCTACAGCCCAGCGGTCCTTAATTGACGATATTCAGCTTATCCTCCACCCACTCCAGCCTCAGTCAGTTGGGAGCCATCCGATCAACTATTTGTTTTTCTCGTGAGAGCAGATTGCCTTGACCCTTGAACTTCTTCGGCGTCTGATCACTCGGGAGCCCGGCGGAGTCTGCTGGCAGAATCCCCGGCCCAGCATGCCTCAAGTAAGAGATGCTTCCGATATCTGTCGCCAGGACACCCGTCACATCCCCCGCCTGGGTTGACGACAGCATCCTGAGCTGTTGCAGGTCATGTGGTTCTCAAAGGAAGTCTTTGACAGCCGCTTGCTTCTTAGGCAAGGCTCCGCTTCGCAGTGCGAGTCCACCGGGCAGCGGCCCACGTTGATGTAGCTGTACTTGGTGGGAGCCTAGGTCCGATCGAAGCCGCTCCAAACGCAACTTTCGCGTCGCGAACCCTGCCTGGCCACAGCGATTGCCCAACGGCACCTCGCTCGAGGTTTGGCTCCAGCCCCGCACTGAACTTCACCTCAAAACCCCGCCTCTGCTGCCAGGCACTTCCCGGAGGCGACCTTCGTGTCCGCGGCCACCTCCAAAACGGCATTTTTTATAAACAGGTCCGCAACCTTTCGTATTATCGTGCTATCAGTTGCGCCAAGCGAAAGAGTCGACATTTCACAAACTCCAAGCCTTCCCGGTCCAGCCGCAGTAGTGCTAATTCATGCCCGTAAGGTATTTCCAAAACAGCGGGCCTCTAAACATGGGGTGTTTCCCTTTTAGACAGGTTCAATAAGCAGTGTTTCAGAAACCCCCATGCGGTTGCCGCCAGGAACATGCCAACCCAATGTGCATCAGCCAAACGCAAGCGGTGCCTGAGCATAGCACTTCAGCCAAGGGGCCTCAGGTGTTCAGGCGTAAGAAGAAACACCTGCCTAACATGGTTGAATTCGGATATGTTGTTCCCCCATCCGAGTGGTTGGTGTCCTCGTTTATAAAGGAAACATGGAAAGAAATGGCAAACCTAGTTCTTGTGCGGCTCGTCTCTCCTGAAACTGGTTGTTCAACCTTGTATATAATGTCAACCGTTGTCAACCACACGATGGTGGCATACTCCGGTGCAAACTCATCAGCAAGTTAACCACTCAACAAGCCAGAAAGCGCTTTCGCAGCTCCACCTGAAACCCGTGCAGCACCCCCCCCCCTTTTCAGCCTCTCTTTCGCAACCCGACCATGCCAACTAGTCGTCTTTCTCGACGGCGTATTTGTTTGACAAAAAAAAAGACCCCCCCGCCAAAACACACTGTGATCTTCGTCAATAAAACCAAGTCTTGGTGGCACGTAACCCGCTCAGCCGCCGACAACCCGGGGTCAGCTCTCAACCGTTGGCACGGGAACATAGCAAGGGCCCGGTGCCAAAAGGAACTTCAGGTTCCAAGCACATACATTCTCACACCACTTTGCCCAGAATTCTGCTCACAGGAGTCACCATCAAAACCGATTCGGTACCCAAAATGGTCGTAATCCCAGAGCCCATGTAGACGAAGAAGGCGGCGGCTATTTTCTGGCCAGGGCATCCGTTAAGCTTCGCTTTCCCGGGCTCTGATTGTGGCCCCGTTTTTGTAGGTCCGATATGGTGCCCACACGTGCAGCGTTTGTCCAGGCTGCCCTGCGCACGGCTTCTCGCCCGCTCCCAGACCCGTGGTGCCGCTGCAAAACGCGCTCTCCGGGAGGTACGTCTCGGGGTCTGCGCCTGACGAACACGCTCAAAGCAAACGAGGAACACCTCAAAAGGAGTCCGCTCTTTTCGCGGTGTAGAAACAAATGCAAACATCAACCAGTACGAGGAAGCGTGACTTCAATAGGTGGCATGCTGTCTATCTGTCTGTGTCTAAGTGTGTCTGTGTCTGTGTCTGTGTCTGTGTCTGTGTCTGTCTGTGTCTGTCTGTGTCTGGGGTGGGGCTGGCGTGGGTGGGTGGAGTGGGTGGGCGGGCGGGCGGGCGGGTAATCTATCACGTCAAATCCAATAAAAACAATTCAGACCAAACTAAATCAAATCAAATCAAGCCAAACCAAAC